TAGCAGGCTCAAACAAGCATGGCAAAAGTGCAAAAGATATCAGGTTAACAGACTTAGAGAAAATAACAGCATGTCAGGATTTAACATTAGGAAGCAATGTTTAGAGCAAGATAACAACATGCTACAGGAACATATCATGGCGAAGCAAGACACGGCATGAGACTACTCAAAGCATATATCAAAAAGTCCCTTACTGACCATAAGCCAAAAAGGATCAGAAGATATGAAGGCACCCATGTGAACATAGCAAGTTTCGTTAACAGATTCAGACTTAGCAGAAAACTGCACATGGCATAAACAGAGTTACATAGGCATGTTTGCGAGTTCGATGCACTCACCACAAGGCATTGCATGACAAACTAAGCGTACACCCAGCAAGAAGACATGATAAATAAGCTAATCATGGCAAGAGCACTCTCATAGCATGCATGGATCAACTACAACAACCTCGGCAAAATTGATTAACACGTAAACAATCTGCCAGGAACATTTTATAGCAAAAGTAGAGCAAGATTGAGTCATGCTAGGGCACTCCATAATTGCAAACAAAGACATGGATGGATAGAGCATAACAATATCTCAAAATCATCTTTACTGAACATGCTCAAAAGAGGCACGGATCACTCTGTAGCAACATGAATACATGGCATACAAATATCATCAGGAAAATGACTTGGAAGAATTCTAAGTCCCTGAAATCAGCAACATCACGAGAGCTACTTTGCATGCTTGTGCTAGTCACCACATTGATCACAAAAATACATGGCATACACCCCTGTAAAGATGGCATGGCATATAACAAAACACATGTAGGGCTCAAGTTCATAGGAGGCACACATTAAACATGGCAAAAATGACAAATGTCCAATATCTGATAAGAATCTGAAACTAACATTACATAGCACTCTTGTAACAGCATTTAGGGCATCAAGATGAACTCAAATGAACATGGTGCAATGGAATGAAATGAACTGCTCATCCAGACGAACAATTTGATATGCTACACGCCCAAAACAGAGCCACGGATGCAAAGATATGATGCGATGTAGTATGCTAAAAATACTAAAAACTTAGGGCAAAAACGAGGTCAACCCTAATTTCGGATCTGGATCTGGATCTGGGCACCCTTCCCGAGGTTGGGCGGAATAGTGTGGGGCGGCGGCCGGAGCTCGAAGGAGCTCGCCGGAGTTGTTGTAAACGGCGGGGCACCGTGGCCGGAGCTGAGGGAGGACGAGGCGGCGAGGTCCGGTGGCGGAGCGGAGGCAGCCGGCGGGGAGGTCCGGCGTGCGTGGGCGGGGAGGAGGCGGCGAGGAGGCGGCGAGCGGCGCGGCGGAGCGGTGAGCGCTGGCGGCGGAGG